GAGGCAAAGTCCGCCGGCCGCATGATGACCCTGTGGTCATTGAATGCAAGGTGGCTAACCACTTGGTTGGTCGAATTTTGATTGACACAGGAAGCTCCTCGGACCTCATCAGCCTCAAATGCTTATCCAATCTCAAATACAAAACGGATAGCATGATGGAGGTCTCCCACACCCTTGTTGGGTTTGGGGGAGGACTTGTGCACCCAGTCGGACGAATTGACTTTCCTGTCCGCCTGGGGAACAGGGGAGATGGTTGGTACATGACAATCTGTTTCCTAGTGGTTGAAGAGCTCATAGCTTACAACCTCATCTTTGGCCGACCCACTCTAAATGAGTGTAAGGTCGTCATAATCCCTGCTCTCATGCTGCTCAAGTATGAGAAGGATGATGGAAAAGTCGGTTCCCTCAATGGGGAACAGAAGACGGCTCGAGAGTGTTACCTCTCGGATGCCAAGCCCGAGGCCGCAGCATCCGGCCGGGGCAAGGAGACAATCGACCCCGACGATGTCGAGGAAGAACAGTCGACCCCATCAGCCAGAAAGAAAAACAAGACTAATCAGTTGGTGGTGGTCAAAAAAGAAAAACGATAGCAATCACTGACCGGGGAACGGTCGGATGATCTCCGTCCCCAGCCTGCTGGCGAACACATTGATATCCCTCTGGACGATAGCCGCCCGGAGCGGACGGTTAAGGTGGGGACGGTTGCATTTGCAAAGCTGGGTGAGAGCCTGCACTAGCTGTTGAGAGAATTCAAAGAAATATTTCCCTTTGAAATGGAAGAGATGCCAGGCATCAGCCCGGATCTCGCTGTCCATAAACTCGCCGTGGATCCTAAAAAGAAGCCCATCCGGCAGAAGAAAAGAAACCATGGCGAGGAAAGAAGTCAGACGGCAACCGCCGAATTTAAAAAGCTTCTAGACGCCAAGTTCATTCGGCCGTGCAATTTCCCTGAGTGGGTAGCTAACGTTGTGTTAGTAAAAAAGCCGAATGGAACTTGGCGCATGTGTGTTGATTACACATACCTCAACAAGGCATGTCCAAAAGATAGTTATCCACTACCTAAGATCGACAGTCTGGTTGATTCAACAGCCGGACATGCCCTGATGAGTTTTATGGACGCCTATTCAGGTTTCCATCAGATCCCCCTGTGGAAAAAAGATCAAGAAAAGACGGCATTCGTCACTGATCAGGGGTTGTTCTGTTATACGGTAATGCCGTTTGGTTTGAAGAATGCGCCTGCTACTTTCCAACGAATGATTACTACGGTCTTCATTAATCAAATCGGAAGGAATGTAGAGGCGTACATTGATGACATGATAGTCAAATCCAAAAAACAGGCGGATCATCTTGTTGATCTCCGTGAAACATTCGCCACACTCAGGCGGCACAAGGTCATGCTAAACCCAAAAAAGTGTGTCTTTGGTGTTGAGTCTGGGAAGTTTCTCGGATTTTTGATTAACCAAAGGGGAATAGAGGCCAACCCTGAGAAAATACAGGCGGAAATCGACATGCAGTCGCCCCGTACTGTGAAGGAAGTGCAAAAGTTAACAGGTTGCCTGACGGCCTTGGGGAGATTCCTCAGTCAGTCAGGCGACAAGTGTCTCTACTTCTTCCAGGCAATCAAAAAGAAGATCAACTTTGAATGGGGGGCCAATGCAGAGGCGGCTTTTAAAAGCTGAAAACTCATACGCACTCTTTGCCGAGGCTTGTTAGCCATTTGCCCAAAGAAAAGCTCTTCATGTATTTAGCCGTCTCTGATCATGCCCTCAGTGTCGTTCTCTTAGCTGAAAGAGACGGCATCCAGCTCCCGGTGTTTTTCAGTAGCCATGTTCTCAGGAACGCAGAGATTCGGTACCCCAGGTTGAAAAATTTGGTCTTGCCCTTTACATGGCCATCAAGAAGCTAAAACCCTACTTCTTGGCGCATGCAGTAGAGGTCTATACTGACCAATCGATCAAGCGGCCACTCACAACCTTGGAGTCTTCTGGACGAATGCTTAAATGGGCGATTGAAATGCAAGGATTAGAAATCACTTACGAACCAAGGAAGACAATAAAGGGGCAAGCATTCGCCGACTTTATTGTTGAAATGACAAGGCCGGTTGCACCGGACATTACTGACCAGGTTTGGAACGTGTAAGTGGACGGGAGCTCCATTGCGAACGGCTGTGGAGCATGGATTATCTGTCAATCTCCTAAGGGAGATAAGTACAAATATGCACTACGGTTCAAGTTCCAGGTCTCTAATAATGAGGCCGAGTATGAGGCCCTGCTAGCTGGCATTCGGTATTGCAAGGCGGCTGGGGAAAAGAAAATTGACGCCTGCTCTGATTCTCAACTAGTCGTACTCCAGGTCAATAGAACGTACGAGGCCACTCATCCGGCCATGATAAAATATTTGCAGGCGGTCAAAAGTGAAGTTGAGACACTTGAGGAGTTCCATCTAACTCAGGTACCCAGATCTTCAAACAATTAGGCGGATGCTCTGTCAAAACTAGTATCATCCGCCTCTTGTGAAACACCTCGGTCGGTTTTCTGGGAGGTCATGGAAAAGAGAAGTATATATAATGAAGACCCCATTGGAATTCTCTACCGAAGCTCTACCTGGATGGACAACATCCGGGCTTATCTTGCAGACGGCACACTCCCTAATTCACCCTAGGAGGCGGCTGTTCTGAAGAAGAAAGCGGCAAACTTCGAGCTGAGACAAGGAGAACTCTTCAAAGCTGGTTTCTTGAAACCCCTGTTGAAGTGTGTTACCCCAGAGAAGGGTAAAGAGGTCCTCGAAGATTTGCATGCGGGTTTCTGCGCCTCCCATATAGGCGACAGGTCTTTAGCTGCCAAGGCTAGGCGGCTCTATTTTTGGCCTACTCTGGAGTCGGAAACCATGGAAATGGTCAAAAAATGTGACAAGTGCCAAAAGTTTGGCAAGCTCATCCATCGTCCGACCACCTACCTGACGGCCATCCACAGCCCAATACCCTTTGCCAAATGGGGCATGGACATACTTCGGCTTTACACAGCAGCACCAGGCGGCAAGCACTATATATTGGTAGCTGTGGATTACTTTACCAAGTGGGTAGAGGCGGAGGCGGTCAAAAACATCAAGACAAAAGATGTCATTTCCTTCATTTGGAGGAATATTATCACTCGGTTTGGGATGCCCATGTCTATGGTTTTTGACAATGGTCCTCAATTTGAGACGCCTCAACTCAAGACTTGGCTGGGAGACCAAGGGGTCTCAAGCTTCTTTGCATCAGTCGGCCGTCCTCAAGCAAACGACCAGGTCGAAGCCTTCAACAAGCTAATCTCAGACGGGATTAAAAAGAAAATTGAACGGGCTGGTGGCCTTTGGGCGGATGAATTACCACACGTCCTCTAGTCCATCGAAACGACTGCTAAAGGAGCAACTGTAGAAACCCCATTCCTCATGGTGTATGGTGCAGAAGTTGTCCTGCCCATTGTACACTATTAACCTACTCTTTGAGTCATGTTATATGACGAAGAAGTAAACTGGGAGGCCATGCGGCTAGCATTGGACTCACTTTCAGAGCGCAGGGGCAATGTTGCCTTGCGCCATGAGATTTACCATATGAGAATGACACGGGCTTACAACAAAAGAGTACACAAGCGTCCTCTCGAAGTGGGGGACTTTGTGCTACGGAAAATGGAGGCAGTCGGTAGGGCGAATGAGAAGGGAAAGCTAACCCCAAATTGGGAAGGCCCCTACCGAATATATGAGGAAGTAAAAGACGACACCTATTGCCTGGAAGAACCAAACGGTAGGCAGCTGCCTAGAACTTGGAATATAGATAACTTGAAAAAGTACTATTTCTAAGTACGAATGTAAATACCTCAAATTTTGTCATTTCAAATTTTGTTAATGAGAATATGCCTTCATTTCCCAACTTGTCTTTTTTATTAGCGTCGCCTGTACAAAATACAGACGGCCAATGTATTTGGAAAGTGTCTGTTCCAACAGCAGACGCCCCAATCTCTCTGAAGGAGCCGACTGCTTTAAAGCAGTCGTTCTTACGAAAATCTTTAAGTTTATGCCAACGCTTAACGAATATCTGCTTAATTCTTTAAAAGGCCTAAGGCCATATAAAATCATTTTAAGGCCAATGGCCGGATGTTAGTAAACGAATAGAGGCCGAACGGTCACAGTCTGCTCCAACATGAGTATGACCGTCTGCTCCAACATGAGTCAGATAACCGGCGACGTTCATTCGGGCGAATTCGTCGAGGAGAAGCATCTCCCATTTGGGTGGCACATTGCTCTACGAATACATCAAGCGGCCCTACCGAATGCTAAGGCAGCATTCGCAGTCATTTGATTTAATCGAAAGTGAAATCTAAAAAGGCCAGAATTTTCTAACTGTTCTAGCACAGTCGGAAAAGGGTCATTGTTTCATAAGTAGAGGTTATTGAGGCAATAAGCCAGATGTACCTGTTTTTGCTCTGGGGCAAGACAGGCGGAAAATTTTTCTAATCTACAAGTTAAGTTAACTTATGAGGCCTTTGGCCAGATACGCCTATTTCTGCTCAAACGCAGGATAGGCGGACTATTACTTACGAAAAAATAAGCTAAAACACTTAGCAGATTAAAAAAGAGACCTGTGGGTCGGATGTGCCTGTTCTTTGCTCTTGGGGCAAGACAGACGGGTTATTCTTCCTAAGTAAAATTAAGACTAAGCTAAAACTTATCATCTTATCTCGACGAGGCCTATGGCCGGATGCGCCTGCTTTTAGTTCTTGGGGTAAAACAGGCAAAGGTTTTCTTTTTAGCAAATTTGCTAAGTCAAGAATTTTGTATTTCGTTTGTGCCAATGGCCGAATGAAAACAATTATTCATTAGCTCTGGATGGCCGTCTGTCGCGTTGTTTGGGGAAATCACCATAGTGATTGATTGACTTAGAAACCATGCATACTCTTCTAAGTATCAATAATTTCTAAGTCAATCAATCAACTCAACCGAAACCACTCGACATCCGTCCAGGAGCAAGAACATTCGCATGGTATACAGGTTATAATACTTAGTAAAAAAAAAACATGCAATGAAAAAATTTAAGGAACAACAATATGAATAACTTCAGCCAAACGGCTGAATGATTTCATATTAAAAAGCCCAATCGCAACCAGACGACTGGGTAAGATTGTTTGCTGGCAAAGCCAGAGAAATTGTTAATTTACCCGACCTCTCGGTCGATAAAAATGCACATTTACTCGGCACGCAGGCCGGAAGATGAGGTAAATGGCCATTCGGCCGCAGAAAGAACTTATAAAAAGCTCAAGGGGCAGAGGAGTTATCAACATTGGCAGCCGCATCATCACCTTCCGACTGCTCCGCATTTTCATCATTCTCCTCGTCCCCCTCCTCGTCCCCAGAAGAGCCTGATGAGGAGCCGACCTCTTCGCCCTCAGCATCAGCCTTGTTCGCCTCCTCTTGAGATTGGCGAAGAAGTTCAGCATTGAAATCCTCGTTTGCTTGATCAAACTTGGATTTCCAGGTGCTATAGTCAGCACCCGGCTGTACCGCCTCCCATGCCATCTGCATGATGGCCTCATAGTCCTCCATCATTTGTTTGACAAGGGCCTCCTTCTCCTCCTCAGCTCGGGACTTGAACTTGGACTTCAGCTGCTTCTCCTGGTTCGCCAGGCGCACCTGCAGGTGGCCAACCCGCTCATTGGCCCTCTCCGCCACTTTCTTAGCCTCTTGAAGAGGCTCAAGCTTTTCCTTAAGACCTTTAATTTCGGCCTTAAGGTCAATGATTTTGGAGCGAGCCGAATCTAGGTCCTTCTTTACCTGCAGAATGGCATCCGCCTGGGAATACATCATATCAAGGGTCAGAAGCTCATTTTGAGCAATTTCAAATTGAGTTCGGTCTAAGGCGGACTCGGCTCGAGCTTTAGCAGCTGTTACCTCTTTAGACTTCTCCTTGATTGACCTTCTTAGCCCCTGGATGCGCAGCATAGCCTGAAAATGAGAAAAGAGCCGAATGGTCAAGACCAGTCGGACATGTGCTTAAATAATAAGAAATTAAGTTAACTTTTTACCTCACAAAGGTTCCCCAAGATGGCACCCAAGTTAAGGGTGTCGACTCCTCTTACGGACGCCTTGTCCTCTAGGTCAAGCGCCCTCAGCATCTCCTTGGCCATCTGGACGACAATCGGCCTTTGCACAGGAGCTGAAAATTAAAGTTAGTCAAAGAAGTTCTAAGAAACTATCTTGATGTAGAAATTCAATGAAGACACGGTTTATACCGTCCGGGTGAACCTCCTCCTCCTTCCCGTGACGCCTCTTCTCTCGTGCTGAGCCGACAGCAGTACTGGGTTGCTTAAAGCCACCCTTCGATGCCTGAGTAGCATCCGGTTTGCTGACCACCCTGTCAGCTTCGAGAGTAGAGTCGTCCCCTTTTATGGGCTTGTGAGCAATGTGCTTCCGGTTCTTGCCGGATGCACTCACATCACCAGCCCCTGTTTTCTGGATATTTGGTTGGGATTGGTTGGAGGGAGTGGGCCTGGTCGAACCACTCTACATGAGCAAAAAGAAAGGCGTCAGAAAAAAAGGCGGGCAAAAATTAACCTTTGTTGAAAAATATATCAAGTGTTATAAACAACTACCTTGGGAGTCCCGACTGTTTTCTGCTCGTCACTCGCTCGATTAAGGACGTTCGAGCGATATTTTGCTGCAAAAATAGCAACCGGCTTCCTTGTTGCCGAGACCTTTTCCATAGCTTTGTCTGCACCAAAAGCAGGAGTTAGACTTTATAAACAAACATTGAAAAGAAATTTAAAGGTTGCATAAAATCAGACGGCCGACTACCTCTCAGCATCTCAGAGCTTAGCCCACAAGCGGCCAAGAACACCCCATCTTCTAGCCACTTGTAAAGGGGTATGTAGCTCTGGGGACGACTATTTTCTCCCCCTGCTCATTTGTCCGAACGGACACTTTCAAAAATTTCCTCCTAGGCCCGCCTAGGGAGAGGAGGCAAGGCACTCTTGCCAGCCAGGAGGGGCGGATCCTTGTTCCACCTATGGTATTTCTGGTTCAGTCGGCTATCAGAGGAATGGACTATGTAGAACTTTGTTCTCCAGTCCTTCCACTTGTTCTCCTTGCCGACTGCCATCATGTACCCCTTGCAGGTGGACAAGGTGTACCAGCCTTCGCCGCCCTTAGCAGGCGCTCGGCTGAGATAATGCATGTGGGCGAATGCCTCAAAGCTGGGATCCACCTCCAGCATTTCACATGTGACAACGTACCCGATGATATTAATCCATGAATTCGGGACAAGTTGCCAGACCGGATGTCATAGAAGTCCACTTGCTTTGCGGGACATGGTGATAGTAGGGGGCGCGTTCCAAGCGCCTAGAAGCACTCGGCTCCGCCCAGCCTTCACCCTTTTCCACTGACAAGGATTCCCTTGCAGTTCTTATCTTTGCTCGGGCCTCCTCTAAAGTAACGGAGGCATTTTCAAAAGATGACGAGGCCGAATCGTCATCAGAGCTCTCCCCAGAGCTAGGGGACTGCCGGCTGGGGCCAGCAAGGTCCTCCCCTAGACTCTCCTCCGACGCCTGTTCCGAAGGCTCGGCCTAGTATTGACTGTCGGCTTCCCGCAGTATAGTATCACTAGGGGTGCCGCTTGAAGAAGGGGAAGAGTAATAGGTTTGAGTTTGGGGAAGGTCATGCTCAGAAATTTCACTAGCAGGCACCCTAATGGAGCAATCAGAGTTGACAGTCTCACTATCCGAATGGTAAAATGAACCACCCGCCCTATATCTCCTCGTTGTCTGCTTTGTTCTTGCCATTATGTCCTGCAGATGCACAGACACTGTCGAATTTGGAGATGTACTTAAAGGAAAGTTCTCGAACGAGCATTCGGCACTCCTAGTTCTAGATTCAGCCGTCCCCGATGACCGGTTGATCGCTAACCTAGGTCGTGCCGTGTGCGTTTAGGAAACCATTTGATAAAGAAAAAATGCAAGAAAGAATAAGTAAAAGAAGAGAGCAGGCGGTTACCTTAGAAGAAGGTATTACGAGACGCCTGGTTTGCTGAAACAGACAGACAGAAAGCCGAGCGTCGGATGCTTGACAAGTTTAGGTCTTTGAGAGTCTTTGAAAGTCAAAAGTCCAGAGATTATCCAAGATTCGCAAAGGTGTGAAAACAAAAGGGGAGTCAAACCCTCCTATTTATAGAAAAGGTAAACCCTAATTTTTCCCTCCAAAATGTAATTTGAAAATCCGGCCAGTTGGATGATGACACCTGTCACAAGTGTCATGTGCAATGCACGTGACCCCTGTGAGGGGAAAATGATTTGGGTATTTTTATACCCGGCCAGGTGGCCCAATCGGAAGCCGCCACGTGTCATTAGAAGGGGTGCCATGTGGACCTTTGAGATGGTGACACGTGGTAGGCAGGCATTCCCCCGTTCAGAGATGATTGATGATCTAGCATGGACCATTAAGAGGGCGACACGTGTCACCCTAAGAGATGCCCAAAGGCCTTTTGGGCTCAGTGACACGTGTCACTCAGGCTTTGCTTATGGAATGGCGGCCTTCAAGGGCCCAAACCTTGAGGCGCCGTTTTACGGCGTGACCTAATCCCTAGGTCACCAGATCCTAGGGAGGGCACACTTTTCAAAAAGACCCTATAAATAGGGACAGGTCCTACATTTATGAGAGAGGATACTAACTATGAGACAACACGTCACTATCACATTTAATACAGAGCTGTCGTTTTCAAGAAACAGACAGCACCTTACCTGAGCTTGGAATCCGAGCAGATAACTTTATTTCAGCACGTGTTACTCCGAATACTTACTAACTTAATCTTCGGAGCCGGACCACCGACCATCCGGCGGTCCGTTTGCTTTGCAGGTACAGGCGCCCTTTGCTGAATCCAGTCTTAGTGTTGTAACTCTCCCAAGGGACAAAAACCCCCGAAACACCATTATTGTTATTGATTTCCCAAACAAGGTGTTCATCATCTGTTATCTGCATTATGAAACAAATGGTGCAATAAACTATGACATACATCCAGCTAGTACATAAAAAAACACAATTATGAATAACTCACTTTAAGTCCATGGACTACCAACGAATCCAATAATGAATTTGATTTCAGAACATCCAGGAACACTGCAGATCCTCGTTTTTTAACAACACACACACGCATACACGACGCCATGGTTATGTGGACCAACTACAAACATGAAAAAATTATATTTGTTAGGATATCGCCGCCAATGAAAACTCGCCAATGAAAACTTAAATGACGCCAAAATCAAACTCATATTGAACACAATAACCAACAAACAACAACACCGGGTGTGGAGAAAGTCATTAACTATGTCATAGAGATATGTCCCCTAAAATTAATAATGACAGGCTGCACAATATCAAATAGATAAGCAAATAGACAAATGAGGAAAGGGAACAAAAGATATCAATAACAACCCAAATACCCATCTCACCAATATGAATGGGTACTTGACAATCTGAGCACGAGATTGGAAATCCATCACATGGGCAAATTGACACACCTACACATACACAAACTACAGTTTAATTAGTACATCACACAAGATTAACGAAATGACTAATCATTGTATCCAGAAGTAAAAAGAACAAACCATAGAAAAATCAAAAGGCATCAACCTGTGAATAAGCAAAAAAATTAGTAACCGAATTGAATTCCGGTTCTCCAAAGTAATCAGCTTTAAAATTCATGTTTTTACCTCTTCAAATGTTTGATTTTCAAACAACAACCAAATTTTAATTTAACATCCTTAAGTTCGGCAGGGTCAGACATCATACATACATGTTGTTCCTTGTACTGCCTGAGGTTCTTAGTGGCCAAGACGCTTGGGTGTAGGCTTCCTCATTTGTGAAAGATTATACACGGTTAACACATGTTGATCACAAATTACAACAGTTAAGAACCAAAAACTAATACATTAAATTTCAGATAGAATAATTTACAAAGTATTCAGCCAACCTCGTTACACTGCCCAGGCCCATCTGTTTCCCTTGCTAATCTAGGATGTATCCCTTGCTAATCTAGGATGTCGTTCACCATAGGCAGCATCCAGGATCTACAATAGAAAATGTTATGAAGATAAACAAAATGTGAAAAATAAGATCCAACGATAGGGGCAACAGGCTCTGGGGTTTGGTGCTTGGTTTACGCTTTCCTCTGAGTTTGGTACACCGAGTGCTATTGCTTTCCCCGAAGCAGAGAAATACAATTTGAAATGAGCATCCTACAGGTTGCCTATTAAGACGATCCAAATACATAACCTGACATATTAGGTAAATGAAGAATTAAAATCTTCATATAATGAAGATTACACAAGGAAAAATGAGGATCAGAAACAGACATACCACAACAAAAATAAGGCAACCACCACACCCACTAGAAAAACCACTCGAGTAATATCTACGTGAAAATGCAGCAACACTGTCCATCAGCTTCTTCAACACAAGACTACACCAGCCATACTCCGCAGCTCTAGGGGCACATGTCAATGAAGGAACAAGATCGGACACTAGCCTAGAGGATTGTGTCGGGCATAACAACATCTCCAATGACAGAATAAAAACATCTTGAACTCATCTTCCTCGTGTTCCTGCCAATGCCCCTCTACCCTCTCCATTAATTGCCTATTAATAGGTATTCCCTCTGTTTTGTAGTGTCTACTATTCCATGATTTGCCATACCTACCCATTATGTCTAGAATCTCAAGATTGCCCTCTTGTGACAATGATTTGTAAGTTGGAACAACAAATCCCCTGTTAGGAATACCTAGGACCCAGTGTACTTGGTTCTTTGAAATGTTGAACAATCTACCATCTACACCTCTTAAAGTACTATTCAGAGGATCAATTTGAGTCATTAACCAGTAAGATAGCTGCCTTGGGAGATGCATGTCTCGTGCAAAGTGTAAAAGACCACCAAAACCCATTTCTCCGACCCATCGAATTCTCCAATCATCAAAAGTTTGGCATATTCTTCCAAAGGTCTCAATACGACAGCTAGTGTTAGGTGGCTACAAAGAAGAGGTTCAACATCACCTAATTACAATTACAATTCACTTAGCAAAACATTAAACCATACTGTCCATAACAACTTACTCACCCGACTACTAGCTCTATCCCTTTCTAATAACACATCCCCTCTTGCTTTAATTTGACCGCCAACATTTAATGAATCATCCTGCAGCATCAATATCAAATTAAAGATACGGGTTGTGTAATAATCAAACTCCAATAATACAACAATGCAGATTATTACAGTTTACCTTAAAAATGTCCTCAGTTAGATCCTTCAAAGGAGTGGTGTGTAATAATCAACCTCCAATAACACAACAATGCCGATGATTAACGACTGAATTCAAGAATGAAAGCATGCAATGATTCTAAATTGCAGACAAATACCTCTTCCAAATCATCTTCTTGGATAGCACTCCTTTTATGTTTCAAACATCTCCTTCCACCCATATATTCTACCCTAAAAGTGAGTATTTGCAGCAATAAAATAACCAATTTCAGAACATCAACAGGCATCCAATTAATAGAACAACTTAAGTAACAGTCATCAGGTACGCAATTGGATATTCGGTGAAAAGCCAACAGAAACACTACCGCGGGACAATTTCTATAAGAAAGGATTACTACGGCCAACTGGCCTGCCTCCGGGCAAAGACACTGCGATTTTTCAATTAAGCCGACACCGCAACTTATCTGGCCAATCTTCAACTGCGATTTTGCAATTAAGCCAACAATTGAACAACTCCCAGCAACTTTTTACAGATTCGATTCCACCATTGAAAGTAAGAAAGAGGGTAAAGAGGTTACCTGTGAAAGTGAGAAAGAGGGTTTTAGTCGTTAAGTCGTTAACGACGTTTCCTTTCCAACTTGTTTAAAACAAGGCTCATATTACGGGAACATAGTTGGCTTTTTCGCATGGACCTCCGTGCCCCTCATTTAACTGAGGAAAAGACGGTATTGCCCCTGATATCAACAAAATATGTTGATATCAGTTATTAACTTGTATTTTCTCCACCAGGAGTCTCCGTTGTTTTTGCAGGTACAACCCGAGCCGGACCAGTCTTCGAGTCGTAACCCTCCCGAGGGATAAAAACACCACCCGAGCCGGACCAGTCTTCGAGTCGTAACCCTCCCGAGGGATAAAAACACCCAAAACAATATATAATATGAGCACAAATATATTGAATTAATTATTATATATGGAGCCTAAAAAGTAATTAATCAAGAAATTAAGCATTACTTCAACCAGGATACAAATTAATGATCTATAATAATAAAATATAAAAATAAAGTACTGCAAAAATGCATTTATAGTTCTAAAGCACTTCAAGAGAAGTACTACTATACTCCTTAATCAAACAACAACAATTCTCCTAAATGAAGCATCCCTTAATGAGAATCGATATTTTGATTAAGAGATAACAAATGCAAAACAGAAAGTTCATGCACTGCATTCATTCAACCTTGTTTCCCCATCTGGAGATAATTGCAATCCCTTAATCAGGAAAGATTGACCAGCAAAATAAACTGTATGATAGTATGATACAATAACATGATACAGATTCGTAACTGAGAGGGCACATGGTGACTAGCAAACTCCGTTTGCCTTGGTTCGATCAACAAGCTTTTTCCAGTACTTAGTTACTTCCTTTTGAGTCTCTATAACATCTTTCTTGGTAACAACCTTGTCTCCTTGTGTTTTATCCTTGTCAATGGTAACATGGGTGGACTTGCTTGATACCGCGACAGGGTAAGCATCCATCTCATTTAGTACTTGATGGATGTTGGACATAAGTCTCTCTGCAAGGCTCCTACTAAAATCCTCCCTTACTACCACGCGCAACACTGCAATGTGCTCAGCATTGGCTGGCATTGTGTAAGCTGGGACAATCCACCCAAAGCGCTTTAATCTCTCTGCTATGTCAAAAACACTGTAGTTGCTGCTGTCTTTTAAAGAAAATGCAACGACTGGGACACCGATATACTTGGAGACCACTTTGAATTTCCCCACCCTTTCTATTTCTTCTGTCAACATCTTTGCATTTTCCCTGCAATTTTCCATGATATGCTTGTAACCCTGCAGTTTAATAGAATAAGATATCAAAATACTACGTATAATAGGTTGATTATCATTCTAGACACGATTTGATGTACTTTTCAGTAGAGTAACGAGTTAACAAAGAAAGTCTAAAGAAATCAAGCAAATTAATCAAAATAAGCCATTTTTTCATGAGATATGGAGTTATAAAGCCTCTTATAGCACTAGCCCATCTCGGCACTAACCATAAGGAGATTAGCTAAGTTCAATATTGAAATTCGGATAATCTTATTCTTTAATATCAACCATGATGTAGTACCCTAGGTTTGTTGTATCCTTATTATACCCTTACAAATACAATAAGATATTGAAGTAAATGAATAATAACAAAGTGACACTGCTTATTTTTCTCAACTCTCAAGTAGCTTAACTATGATAAAACTAGCTGACTTCTCAAGTGACTGCTTTAATGCTTTTGGAATATGTACGCAAGTAGATAATCAGTCACTTCAGCTGCATTATGAGCCATGGAGCACCATTTTGCTACAGTTTCTTGTAACATATTATTCTATCAAACAAACAGAGGAACAGAAGAGAAAGAGTTAGGATTTTCACCTCAAAGCCAAGCCGTATCAACTGATAATATTGCGCAATGATCTGACTTGAACCTGCAAACAGAAATTATATGACGGGTTATACTGATGTTTAGGATGCAAGCTGTTGCGGTATTGTATGCCCACTATTTAAATTGGATTTAATTTGATACACATAATAATCTTAGCTACCCACTACTTGTCTTATTATTAAATATTCATCTTTTGTGGGAGATGTGCATATATAAGAGTATAAGACCACTCTGAAGTGAAAGTGTGAGGGTTCCTTCCAACAAAAAAAATTAAAGATTTGCACAGAGGAAAAAACATGACCATCCTAAACACCAACTTGGCGAGAGCTTTCTTTGAGATTTAACTCAAGTACTGATGCAATTATGCAACAATCTAAGAATGCAGGATCAGTAAAGCATTCATGTAATCGACTATTCCCATTGTCCAACCCCATCCCCGTTCCTACATTTTATCTCACCTTTACAACACATGTAGTGCACCTAACCTTTGCAACATCTAAATTTTACCACCACCCATCAATATTCAGCAGACTCACTTCCAGAGTGAAGATCCCGCGCAAGTAAACACCTACACCAAAATCCCACCCTTGCCACCACACATTCTTGGCTGCTTGAGTCAGGGAAGATGTCTACGAGACTACGAGAGGAGAGGGGGCGGGGATATGAAATGCCGGATTCAAGAAGCAAAGGCAGCAGGGCAGAGAAGGGAAGAAAAGGGGAAGTCTCGATCAAAATGTGCTCATCTAAATGTGGGCCTACAAGCTATAATAAAAACTACTCTTTCAAGAAGAGTAACTCAATAGCAGGAATTATAAAAGGTTGTAATCAATTATTTGAATTATATTGCAAAGACACCTAATTGTCACTATTATTGGTGTGAAATTTCCTGGTAATTTTAAGCAAACTCTCAATCATGGTAAGATCTCTTACTCTCTTAATGCACATACAATACCACAAATTAGCATATGTACCTAATGTAGAAAAATCAGAGAAAATCACAAGTTTCACATTATTCTAATATATATGGCAACTGATATACCTTTGGAGAAGTTGAGTGTGAAAGTCGGCTGATCAGATCCAAGGTAATTAATGTGGAAAACAAGATCCTCTGGCAAATCTTCTTTGGTCCTCCAGATAACCCAACCTATACCAGCATAAACAAGGCCGTATTTGTGACCACTAACATTAATGCTCTTCACCAATGGCAACCGAAAGTCCCACTCAATATCAGGGTAAATAAAGGGAGCAATGAATCCACCGCTAGCAGCATCAACATGAATGGGTGTGTCCCATCCAGTCTCCTTGTTCTTCTTAATCAGAAGATCGTTAAGAAGCTTCACGTCCTCAAACTCTCCTGTCAAGGTGGAACCTAAGATAGCAGCTACACATATGGTGTTCTCATCCACCATATCCACAGCTTTCTCTGGATCCATCACATAATATCCTTCTTTCAATTTGACCTCCTTCAGTTCTACCTCAAAGTACCTAGCGAACTTTTCCCAGCAAACCTGCAATTTTAGTCAAGTGTTTATCACTTAGCTTTGCCATGCAATAGAGTAGGAACTGCTAAAAGCTAATGGTTACAGTTAAATATCAACTACTAGAAAAAAAAAAGTGAAAAGGAAAAACCGGGAAAAAAAGAAAAAACATCCTAAATTTGCACCTGCACGTTTGCTCCTGTGACTATATTAGGCTTGTCACAAGGTTTTCCTTCTGCTTTTCTCTTTTGCTGCCATTTCCTTTTAAATGCTAAACCTGCCAGCATGATTGCCTCTGAAGACCCTACAGTGCTTACACCAACTGCTGATTCTTCATCTCCAACAGGAGCATTAAAAAGGTGTGCAATGATATTAACACATCGATTCTGCACAGTTAAGTAGATATTCAGATTTGTCGAAAAAAAAAGATAAACAAGAGTACATACACTAATCTTCTTCTAATCTTTTTAAAATGATACATAATATAGACTAATGCAACTATCCTATCCTCTATATTTGGCGTAGGGAAAGGGACATGCATGGACCCTTATTAGTTAAAATCATGTTCAAATCCTCTATAAGTGTTTTTTTATTATTATTATTATTTTTTTATTGGATGAGGCTTCAATTGGGTGCACAGAAATAGGTTTAAGAAAATAGTTATTTGTGGAATAAAAAAAAAAAGAATTTTCCATGGAAGAATGCAATGTAGATGACTTTACCTTGGTTTAGATGATAAAAAAAGTGATTGTATGATTTGTATCCCAATTGCAATGCCAAAAACATATTGCAACGTAACATCAAGAGAAGGATTTTCAAAGCCTCTATAGATGGCTCATGGCATAAGGAAGCAAGATGGGTTGGGATGGAGGGACTACCTTTACTGCACAAGTACTGGATAAGGATGGGGAAAGGAGGTTTTAAGTGCTGCCACCTCGGAAAATCATGCAGAGGCTATTGCAAGCCTAAATGCTCTTTGTTAGGATACAAATCATCAGTACGTATCCACAGATCCTTGTTTATTCGCACTCGAAATCTCTTGTTCCTCTTCTGATTAGTAGTAAGATTGTAAACTACTGCCAGACCTCCCTAATTGTTTTCTTTAGGGCTTTATGATTTTTGTATTATGCTAATATCAAAGAAAAAAGTCAAGAGAAGAGAGGCACCTATCCAGGTGCAATGCCACAGGCAACGCAATATTCTATTTACTCCGTAATCCGTATGATATGTAATAAAATGTTTAGGAACAGTTACGCATACCACAGATGACAAATTTTCCACAGTATAACGATACAAATAAAATTAAGAATGCAAAGTTAGAGAATGGATTACCTGAAGTTCAGTTGTAACAGGGTACTCATCCATGTCAACATAGTTTTTGTTTATGGAAGACATAATCAGCTTATCACACTCAGGCTCCATCCAAGTAGTCACAAATGACGCCAAATTCACCCTTGGATTTCCATCGAGCATCAGCTCATCATTTATTATTTGGTAAGCTGCATCCTTTGGTATTGATTTATCCGGCATTTGAAACCTTCATGTACATAGGACAAACAAACAAAATTTGATATAGACAAATCCTTTTTTTGTTTTTTTTGTTATATATACAATAAGCATATCACTGCAGAGTAATTTCATTTATACTTCTTGTCTATGCAATGCATAATCAGCTATTGTCTTTGAAACTAAGGATGTGTAGTAGGGGTTACTCCGTTAGTGTTATAAGGGTTACTCCGTTAGTATTTAAAGGAGTTATTCACTTATTCGGTCAATGTTATAGCCTTGCAAAGGCTGCTTCAAGCCCATAGGGGTTGCTCAGTCAATATTATGGGAGTTATTTTGTTATATTACAAACGGCCATATAGCATGGCCAACCGCACACAAAACGCAAGAAAAAGCAAATACAATACGTGAATCTAATGAGGATATATATATATATATATATATATATATATATATATATATATATATATATATATATATATATATATATATATATATATATACTACGATTTAACTATGCACTATTAAAGATCGTAAAAAAGCATAATTGTACAATTATTTAGTAACAAAGGAAGTATACTAGTAATTAGTAATATTTAGTAAACTTAAAGAGGATTTGAGCACGATTTCGTCTAATGCAATTTCTATCTTACTCCCGGAATACCAAGTCCAGTTCTATAAAATTCATGTTATTTTGATGTTAACTTCTTATTATTTCAATTTTTAAATACTATCTCTGTTATATATTATTTGCAACGATTTGACATAAAGTAGAGAGAAAAAATGTCTAATCGTTGCATATAATATATAAAGGAGGTAGTATTTTACTTTTAAATAAATGTTGTTATTTCGCCCTTTTTCTCAATCATCTTCCTCCCACACTCACTCTCTCTCTACCTCTCGGATACTCCAACCAAAAACCACACTTTCTCTCTCCTCTCTTCCAATTTTTTGGGTTTCATAGAAATCAACCTCCTATACTCACTCCCTCTCCCTCTTGCTACTCCATCTCAAAGTCAAACACACTCTCTCTCTCTCTCTCCTCTTTTCTTCTTCTCCTCTTTTCTTCTTCCAATTTTCTGGGTTTCCTAGAAATCAATGGAGTTGAAGCCATTTAAGGGTTCAAACATGTTCATGTTTAGAAATTTAGTACCTCTTCAAGCATTCGATTTTTGTCAAGATTCCCTAAATCTCAACGCCACTAATGTTATTTTGATGTGAATTTCTTTTTATTTTAATTTATATATATGTTATTTTTAAATAAGTAATTATTATTTTATGTTAATTGTTATTTAGTACCTCTTTTGATGTGAATTTCTTATTATTTTATATTAATTAAAATAACTTGAAGTAAATAAGTAAATAACATATTGTTGTAATAAAATAACACAAAGTATAGTACTCCAAGAGTATATAATGTGTATGGAGTACCTGACGTGAATAACTTTAAAACAAAATAACACAAAGTATAGGCAAAATAACTCAAACATATTGTGTATGGAGTACCTGATTTATAGTACTCCAAGAGTATATAATGCTAATTGTTCATCTAATGAGCAATAAAACTAGTGGAGTACAAAATTAGACAAGTGGATCATACCTAGGGAGTGCATCGCGAACGTAGCGCGAAGCAAAGGTACAGCACAACGTTTTGTTAGAAGCATCTGCTGAAGAAGTAGTATCACTGATCACCATTTTCACCTTCTTATTTTTCTCTTTAAAGAAATCAAGTAAATCAAACAAACTAATGAACAAGTAGTTTGTATATACAGATAGGGGTGTACAAAAATTGGCCCGGACCTGAAACCGGACCTGAAACCGGACCTGAACCGACCTGAACCGGACCGGACCTGATCCGGACCTGTTGATTCAGGTCCGGTCCCGGTTCTTAAAAATCCAGGTTCCCGGTCCCGGTCCGGACCCGGTCCAAACCCGGGGTTTTCAGGTCCGGACCTGAAACCCGGGAAAATCGTAATTAAAAAAAAAAAAAAAAAAAAGAAAACCAAACTCTGAAAAATTGAAACTGACGTTAAAACTTCTCTTTCATATTTTTAAGTTCTAACCCTAACTCCCTAAGCCCAAACTGATTCTCTCAACCTCCCTCAATCTCAACTTCTCAACGCGGTTGTCCCAACTCGCTCCGGCCACCGCCCACTGCCGACACCTCCCTCATTCTCTCAGGCGATGCACACCGATAATATCTGGTAAGTATTTGCTTATAATTTTGGTATTTTTAATTCGAAATAATAAATTTAAGTGTGAGAATTTATATGTTTATTCTTGTTTCAAATTTTCAATTGCTTTTAATGATTGTTTATTTGTTTGATGTTTGCATGTTGAATTTCTTATTTTTAGTTCATCTCTTTCGAATTTCTGTTTTTTTTTTTGTTTTTTTGAGTTTAGGGTTCATAAGAATTAAGAAGTTTAGGGTTTAGGGTTCAAGTGCGAAATTTAGTTCGGAATTTTGTGTTTATTATGATTATTAAGATTAATTTAGTGCGAAAATTTGTGTTTATTCCTAAAGTATAAGTTATTCAAGGTAATATATGTCTCCACTTGAATTTGTCTTGATGATGAGAAATACAAAAAAAAATCCATCATTATCTCAATCAATATTTATGTATAATACAGAAAACTGCTAAGTATGTACTCTATTGTATATTTGTATGCATTATTAGTCTCTGTGTTTGAATGTTATATGTGGCAATTCAATTTCACATTGTATTATGAATAGTTGAATATATACCATAATACCAACCTGCAAATTGATCCAACATAATGCGGCACAACTTAGTAACTTACTACTTCGTAATAAATTTTGATCGTTGAGAAATTTTTTGGATGAGTAGTGAACTAGTGATTCATTATATTAATCATTGTTTGGTTTTCTAATGAATAATGAATGGACTTGCACTTATTAAACTAACTCATACTCCGTATCATATACGCTATTTACCTGGTATTGATATTTCTAATGTGTATATATGGACACTTTTTAAGCTAACTTATACTTTAAAATTTGTGTTTATTCCTGCTAGGCTGCTAAAAGTATGGACTCAGATTATTAAGATTAAATAAGTTGGCTAACCTGTGTGTAGTTCAGGGGTTCTTATTTTTGTTTTTATTCTTGCAGGGAGTGAAGGAAGTCAAGGAACCACGGATTCTTATTCTTGCAATGTAAGTTGCTCTTAAATTTTTTTATAAAATGGTATGTGTATATAATTGTTACTTTAAAATTACTTATATTGTATATAATTATATTGTAGATGGAGAGCTCTCAATCCAAACGGTCTGCTTCTTTTTCTGAACAAACGTCACAGCCACTTTATGAAAAGGATATGGAAGAATTGCAATCTACTTTGCCTCCTGATAAGAAGCTAAAAGCGGGGCGGGAATATATATGGAACAGAAAAAGTAAGAGGAAAGCTGAGTATTGGAAATATTACTTAGAGTACGTCGGGAATGGAAAACTACGAGCTGAATGTAAGTTCTGTCCTAAAACTTTTGTTGCTGATGGTAATCTTAATGGTTCAAAAAATGTTAAAAACCATGCAGAATCATGTCTCGGTAATCCTATTAATATAGAAAAAGAAAAGGGCAAAGAAAAGCAAACTAAATTGTATTTTGATCAAGAACATGAGAGTAGTGAATTAAAGTGTGGGAGTAAGATTATTAACTTGAATGATGTTAGAGAGACATTGATTCACATGATTATTGTTGATGAGTTACCATTTAAGCATGTGGAAAAACCCGGTTTTAGGCACTTTGTGCAAGTTGCATGTCCACAATTTCACATTCCATCTCGTGTTACCATTGCTCGTGATTGTTTAAAGTTGTATTATAGTGAAAAAGAGAAATTGAGAGAAATGTTTAAGACATGTCAAAGAATTTCTGTGACCACTGATACTTGGACTTCAATACAAAGAATTAATTATATGTGTCTTACAGCTCATTTCATTGATAATGACTGGAAATTGAATAAAAAGATCATAAATTTTTGTCCAATTTCTAGTCATAAAGGAGAGGCTATTGGAAAAGCAGTTGAGGCATGTTTAGAGTATTGGGGTATTGATGATAAACTTTTTACTGTCACTGTTGATAATGCTTCTTCAAATGATGTTGCTTGTGCACACTTGAGTAGAATGGTTAGAAGAACAGGATGTATAAATGATGGAAAAAATCTTCATGTTAGATGCATTGCTCATATCATTAATTTAATTGTGTGGGATGGTATTAGAGAACATGGTGTGTGCATTGATAGAGTTAGAAATGCTGTGAAATATGTTAAGAATTCCCCTGTAAGAATACTTAGATTCAAAGATCCTGTGCAAAAAGCAAACATAGATTCAAAATCTTCTTTATCCTTTGATGTCCCCACTCGTTGGAACTCCACATACATAATGTTGGAAACGGCTTTGAAGTTTCGACGTGTTTTTATTGGGTTATCTCTTCCTGATGGAGAGGATTTGAATGACAATGAAAGGCCTCCCGAACCCGAAGATTGGGAAAAAGTGGAGAGGTTGGTTTTGTTTCTAGAGGGGTTTTATCTGTTAACTAAACGAATTTCTGGTTCCCATTATGTGACAGCTAATAAAGGTTTAGGAGAAATTGCTTCTATGTATGATATGTTGAATAATTGGGAACAAAGTGAGGACTTGAATTTTCAAGCTATGGCCATTGCAATGAAAAAAAAGTTTGATAAGTATTAGGGGGATGTGGATAAGATGAATAAGTTCATTTATGTTGCTCTTCTTCTCGACCCTCACTCTAAGATGGTCATTGTTGAATTGACACTAACGGATATGCATGGACCAGAAAAGGGTACAAAACTTGCTAATGATGTGAAGGAGTTCGCTTACTCTTTATTTGAGGAATATAGAAAAATGTATGCTACTTCTAATATTCCAGATTGTGGAGATAATATGTCAATGGATATTGATAATAGTAAAGGAGTGGGTTCCGATTATGTGAGGAAACTAAAAGAAAGAGCAAAACGATTGAAGGGGACAAGTGGGTATGCGATAAGTGAGTTGGATAGGTACTTAAATGATCAATTAGGGCCGGAGGAGGAAGAACAAGATGCATTGACATGGTGGGGTAAGAATGGTCAGCGTTATGTGATTCTTAATCGCATGGCACGTGACATACTAGCCATCCCATTGTCGACCGTTGCATCGGAATCTGCTTTTAGTACGGGAGGTCGTACTCTAGATCCATTTCGGAGTTCTTTAACTCCTAAGGTAATGCATCGTTATCTTTTTATTTTATAAAATCAAGTTTGTTTATATCTTAATATGACTTTGTTTATACATATTTGTGTAATATTTTTGTATTGAAGATGGTTCAAGCGTTACTTTGCACACAAGATTGGCTTAGAGCTAAGGAAGTGCCAATTGTTGATGTGGAAGAAAATTTGAAAGAGTTAGAGGAAATAGAGAAAGGTAGTAATAATTTTATGTATTTGAAATTTTGTTACGCCAAATTTATTATTTCATTGTTATCAATCATTAATATATTCTATATTGTATTTTATTTAGAGGTGCAACGTGGTGAATCTAACGATGTAGACGATGAAGTTGTTTTCGTGGACTCATTAGTGTGAATCACGCGATCAAAGGGAAAACAACTCGTTGGAGAATTTATGTATTTCTAGTACTTGAGAGTTGAGACTTAAGAGAATTTATGTAATTTTATGAGTTTTCGTGGACTTATTTGTATTTTCGGTGGACTCATTTGTATTTTTGGTGTTTGAGAATCGGGACTTTATAGACTTTATGTAGTTTTGTAATTGATAATTTTGGTTTGTATGTAATTATTAAATTATGCAACAGGTCTAAAAATCACAAAACAGGTCCATATGCAGGTCCATATGCAAGTCCAACAGGTTTTGTATTAAAAAAAAAAAACGAAAAAGACACAAAACAGGTCCATTCAGGTCCAAACCCGGGCCGGACCTGATTTTTCAGGTCTGGCCCGGAACCGGACCTGTTAATTCAGGTCCGTCCCCGGTCCTCATAATTACCCAATTCAGGTCCCCGGTCCAAACAGGTCCGGTCCAGGTCCGGTCCGGTTTTGGACCGGTGTACACCCCTATATACAGATATACTATAGTTATTGCACAAGATGTTGGTCTAATATATCAGCAAAAGAAGAGAAGAGGAAAGTGGAGTAGAATTTGATCAAAATTATTAAAGTGAACAATATCATATGATATGAAATTATTAATATTATGGGTGGGGGATTTTGGATTGATTACAAGTTTACAACTTACGAGGTGATCAGATGAATGGGTGACACGTGCTTATGTGGGCCATGGATGTGGGGTGCCATGGAAGTCGGCAGCTTCGCTGGCCGCATAAATCCGATTTTCGGTGTCGACATCTAAACTAATTTATAAGAAACTGCCTCACCTTCGTCTTTTATTGTTTTGTGTCTAGCCCTATCAAAACGGTTAGTTCATCCGTTTCGTTTGTAGTTGTCATGTTTCTTTAGTTATGTTTATCAATGTACAAGTTCAATCGTTAATATTTTTAATTATCAATTACCAAAATTTATAAAAATTTGATATTTTAAAAATATACATTGTGACGAATCAAACAAGACCTAAACTATATTTTTCATTACGTATAAGTCACAAAACACGATCAAAGGAAAGAGTGTGAATAGCACTAAAGTCAAAACGTGTTAACTAAAAAAACCAGAGGTAGTACACATCTTGTTAAAGAAAAATTTATTTTTTTGATAGATAAGTCATACGACATTTATTATATATATATATATATATATATATATATATATATATATATATATATATATATATATATATATATATATATAACAAAACTAGCAAACACGATAGAAATTGGATCAAATAATATACTAGCAAATACAATAGAAATTGGATCAAATAATATTCTAATCACTTATGACATTAATGAATATCCTCTTTCACATCGTTGTTTGATACAACCTTCTATGAGGAGGTCTTTCGATTTATTATAGTTTTAAAATCAATAATATTTTTATTGTAGATGTAGAATTAACCTCCATTGTAACATTGCACAAATCTTCATCAAAGAATCAATTTTCCCAACAGAATTAAAAAATTTAGCGCTAAACTCTCAAAACGAGAGAAATTAAACCTGATATATATATACAAGTAGAAATAACCCACAAATTGGGTAGCCCCGAAGAAATCTAGAAGGAAAACAAGAGATCTAGGAGCATACCATCAACCAAAAGGTTAGTGATAGGCCCTAGAACAACAAATTATTATCATTATTAGGTTTTGAGGAAGAAGGAAGAGATAAGAATAGAGAAAAAGGAGAGACGACAAAATATATATAGTTCAAGATTATATTTATAAAACCTTGTGAAAAAAAATCAATTATAAAAACTTAATTTATTTAGTATATTTTTTAACACAACTTTTATTCTTTCTTCCTTTATACTAAAGGTTTTTAAGTTAACCTTATTAAAGCCTTACTAGAAATTAAACTAGTAATTTCTCTATTCCTAGAAGCTTAGATTGCCCCATACTTTAAAATGGATACCTATACATAGTATTCTAAAAAAAAGCCAAGCAAGCAGGTGTTTATTCTCTCTACAATTACCAAGGCGCGGTTCCTAGGTTTCTAGGGTTACCTCTTGTTCTTGGCTGTTCTTTCGTTAGTTTCCTCAAATTTGTTCCTTTTAAGGATTCCTTTGCATCATTTTAGCTTATATTTGGTGTGAGGGCCCCATTTTCTCCTATCCAATCTGTTTTTAAAGCTTTTAAAATAATCAATTCCTTTTCTGGGAGCTTTCTTTGTGCTCAAGGAGTGTTCTTGAGCCCCACTTTTCTAGGTGTGTTGCTCTTTGTTTCCTGGCTCCAACACGTGGATCACTTGGAAGTCTAAGAGTATGCTTAGTCTCAATCTCAGTTATTTGGGATTAAATTTTTGGTTTTACCAAATTTCATAACCTCTGCTATCTTTCTCTTCTGGATTCTCAAAATTTATTGCTCTTTACTCCTCTGTTCTTCACCCAGTTCAGTAACTCCTCCTTCTTAATTACCTTGTCCGTGTTGTCGTGTTCGTTATGGCGCATATTAATCAATGGACCTTGTACCAATCGGGGGTTTATATAAATCAACCTTTGGAGAATTATATATATTACGAATATTGACTGGAACAAAGCGGTTATTGGAAGATTCTTTGGTCCCACTCCTCCAAGTCGTGCGTTCGTTCAACAGATGGTTGATTCTCAATGGCTCTCACGAGGTAATATTGTTGTTCACCGTACTGGTTGTTATTATATATTTGCATGCTCAAATTTGGCTGACGTAGAAGCTTTACTTGAGCAACACACTTTCGTTTTGGATGGTCGAATTGGCAATATTCGTAGATGTAATAGGTACACCGTCCCTGCCAATGTTAATATTTATATCACGAGGCTTTGGATTCGAGTGTATGGGCTGCCACTAGGGCTCCTGGACCCTGAGTGGGCTGTTGAAACCTTAAAGCTTGTAGGGGTAGTCGAAACGCTTGAATATGATGGTGATGGCCTTCCTACGGAGCCAGAATTGCGGGGTCAAGTCTTAGTCGATCTCTCTAAACCATTAATTCCAAGTTGTTTTTTCCGGGTGATGGTGACCCTATATGGATTTATTTCCGCTACGAAGGGGTGTTTTTGTTCTGTAAAAAA